CAGTTTAAAAGCTGCTTAAATATACTAGCACAAAGAATTACATTTAGTTACCTCCTCAGCTTGCAGTGTTTTACAACATGTATTCACTTTTTAATACACATCACAGAAAGAAAGCATATTTATACCTCCTTACAAACAGTGCAGTTCACTTGCAGAATATGTTTTTGCTCAACCTACCCCAAATCCAGATTAGTGCGGACCTAAAATTACATGATATGCAAGGTCACTTAGTTTGGCAGAGTTGTTTTCTGCTGCTCACATGACCTGTCTCTGACCCACAGTCCCTCACTCCCAAAACTGCTTTGCTACAGTGAGCACTGGACTATGGTGGCATTGACGCACTGGGTGCAGACAGACAATAGCTTACCTCAGACAGGCAGACATAGCAAACCTCAGTGCTATCAGACCCACTCTAATCACAGACCATGGGACACCCGTGTCTATCCTGCTCCCACATGACCAGAACAGACACAACACCAGTCTAGAGAGGACATTTGGATTCAATTAGGTTACATTGTGAGCTTTGCTGTGTGGAAACATCCACTCCTATTATAAGTAAACATATCTATGAATTCCAGTTTGGGAAATTATGAGAATGTCTGAATTTTTGCAGTTATTTTACTGTACAGTCATTACAACTTATAACACATTGCTACACTTCTCAAGTGCATGAAACTGGACATTTATAAATAAAAAAAATCAGCCCACACAGCTTAAGAGAGGTGATTGGCTGATAGGCAGTCAGTGGGAACTCTTACCTAGTCTCAACATGCTGTGCCTTGCACTTAATATATTCCAGACTTGTGTGACATATTTATGGCTGTCAATCTGCCATAAATGGTAATCACAATAGGGATTTAAAGATGCCTGTTATTTAAAAATAAAAATAATTTTTTTTACATCTTTGAAAATAAAAACAGAGCAGAAAATCGCAGAAAATCAATCATTCTTCCCACCAGACTCAATATAGCTATGTAATTTCAGACCTTCACTATTAACTCAGGGCCACCACACAGTTGCCAATGACAGCTTGGTTGTATTCACATAAGATGAGACAATGCCTTTCCCATGTGAGAGGTTACTTATTTATGGTTTTATCGCTCACATTCAATAAAACTGTTCCAGCAATTACTGTCAAATAGACAAGGACAAAATATGATGAAATGTGTGCTCAAAAACAAATGCTACATGAGTTTTAAATTCTTAAATATGCTTGTTGGTCTCAAGAGGTAGTCGATAGGAATCCAGTGGAAAAGTAACATGTCAAAATAAATCTACTGCAGGGCCAGATTGCAAAAACACATCTCTGGTTTTCATGTGAACAGTGAGAGCAAGAAAGCCATGAACCTGTAGGGAGAAGGCCTGTGTTCAGTGGAGACACAGTATGCTGATACATGATATTTGTTGGGGTTACTGCATTAACCGGTCTTGAGTTCTTCACTTCCCTGAGGCCTTTGGGTGTTAGTATGAATTAGAGACACCTTAATTTGTTCTTTTTTTATCATATGATAACCTGACCTAACAAGGGTGGATTTTATCTTCAGTTCCTGGCTAGAGCGTGAAATACAGTAACACAGTTAAGTAACACTTAATACACAAAAGCACCACCATGTGGCAATATTTAATAGGGCACATAATTGTTAGTGGTTGTCAGAGTTAGCAAAGTTAGTAATTCAACTATTTATCGTCAAAGAAACTTTTTTGTTTCGTTTTTTATACCATTTGTAAAACAACTATTTATTTCAATACAGTTTACTTAAAATATTCACAACAATCTTTGTCTTTAACTTTGTTAAAGCCAATGTGTCATTGTTACAGTGATGCTTCACTTTCTCCACTCACCGTGAACATTAACTACTTTTATTCCTATAGGCTACTGCACGCAATAACCTCAGCGATGCATTATAGTTATTTGCATAACGTGGTCGGCGTTTTCGCGCAGATTAACATTGTCCTTTTCAGTATTCCGTAGTTCTTCCTTCCTCCTCTCTGTCTGTTTGGTTGCTAAAGATGGCTGAGGCTCCTCCATGGCCCATCCGGTTCTTCTGTCACAGATGCTCGGTAGAGATTAGTCCTCGGCTTCCTGTAAGTACCACAGACAAAAAGTAAAGACAGAGCCAGTTGGACAAATTAAACCATAACAATGTTGTTGTTACTTTAGTAGAAACTGTTGTAGTAAAGGGGCCAACAGTTAGCATGCTAACAGTGTTAGCAGGCTATTACGAGGTCTCGTATCTTGCTAACGCTACTCAGTGTTACTGCTTAGCTTGTTATCCAAATACTTGATTTTTCTTTGATTAAACGTCATTAACATTAGTGTACATTAGATTGTTAATCGCTTATGTGAATGATCCGGTGGCAACAATGCCACTGCGCACTGTTCTTATTTTGCCATTCATCAAGGCACACAAGTGACATGCCTGTCAAGGGCTAGAATGATCTGTTATATAACTGTAGTTGACTGTACCACAAGGTAAAAGGCTAGTCATAGGTTTCTGCGGGTTGCTCGTATTGACCTGCATTAACACTTCTCGTGTATTAGTTCAAGTTCATTTTGGCATTTCCATCATAAAAAACAACAACAACTGAATGACCTATTGTTTTCCACCAGGTTAGTGTTTTAAAACCAGCAAAACACAAGAAAACAATTAGGCTACATAACCAACTATATGTAAGTCTATGTGTGTTTATTTTAGTGTTTATATTAAGCAATGTGTTGATTCGTGGGAATTCTGACAGTCTGGAGGAAGAAGCTGTTGCTCATTCTGGTGGTGGTGTGCTGATGATGGCAGGGTATCAAATAGCCTGTAAAGGGGTTGGAAACGTGCTTTAGGGTCCTGGAGGTTTTTTTTTATAAACATGTCTCTCTATAGATATCCTTTTAAGAGAGACCTCTGCTGATCTTCTTAGCATTTGCTAAGACATACAAACAGTCTTCACTCCTTATACTAGTCACACAGCTGGTTGGGACAACAGTTCAGATCAGCTTTTAAGCTGAGGGAGTCAGGGTCTTCTTTGGTAGCGCATCTTCTGCTGATCACTCTTGTTCAGAATGGTTATGTTTAGGGACTAGGAGAGATAGTTATTGATGTGCACCACTATCTGACATTGCTGTATCTCAGTAAGTGGGATATTTGGGTAGTCCCTCTTTTCTCAGAGCTTGCCATTTGACAGACAGACTTTTGTTATACATACGGACTGAAAATAATCTTCATTAAGCCATAAATAGGTTCCTTCTGTAGTGATAATCTTTTTTCGGACTCAGTTATTAGTACATTACTGCTTTCTAATACTGTTTGTTTCTGTTTCTTTCTTTATTCACAGGAGTATACATGCCCAAGATGTGAGTCAGGGTTTATTGAGGAACTGCTGGAGGAGAGAAGGTTTGTACATTAAACATAGTTTACCTCATTGAAGGTAGCTTTTTTTAATATAATGCATGACTCATGGAGACAAAGACAATGCCAATGAATGGAGACAAAGACAATGTCTTTGTCTCCATTCATTGGCAACACAGTCATTCATCACATGAATGATTGGTAATTGAATTTCTAGATGACAATTTTAAACATTTGCATTTGATTGGACTCTCAAATAAGTGACATATATCAAATGTGTTAAAGTAAATTTTGGGCACTACTTGAAAACAGTGGGATGGACTGCTATTTTTTTGTGTGTGTTTTTGTTTTGATTGACATTACAGTTTTTTAAGCCATTGTCATGGCAATAAACAGTGTTACATTTAAAATATGGGCCACAACTACTAAATTTCAAATGAGAAGTTAAAAGAAATTAAAAGGTGGAGAGCTGAGGCCACAGCAAAACTTAGCTGTGTGGATTTAAGGGAAACAGAGATGCATGGTAGATATTTTTTTTTTGTTTTTTTTGTTTTTTTAACATAACTTTGTTGACTATCTGTCTCCTGCTTAGTGCTGACAATGGCTCCATGTCTACCATTTCCAGTGGACCCCAGACCCAGCAACCATTTGAGGTTTCTAACTCATTCTCTATCCCTAACATCTCTCTGCTCTCCCACATTGTTGTCTAAAAGTCTGCATTCCTTAAAGTAGTTTTTGCTGATAGCAAAGACATGAAGGAAGTCATCCTAGGTATTCCACTTCTGCTTTGGCAACTACAGTCTGCCTTTTCACATTAACATTATATTGAATGATAAAGTGATTCAACTTTGCCCAGTCAAAGATGAGTTTGTGTAAATGATGTGAGGCGACATGGGTTGTGATGAAATTATCACTTATTAAAAAGGGAAATACTATATGTCAGCAAGCACTGAGGTGAAATTTGACCTGACTGCCAACAAAACTCTTAATGCGTTAGATGTATTGTTTTGACCACAAATAGTTGCTCTTAACTTGAGGATGTACTGTAGGAGAAATCACTGAGTTTTTTCAAGTGCCCTGGTTAGTTTGTGTTCCTTTTTATTTGTGTCTTCCAGAATGCAGACCAGCACTTGTTTACATTCCCTTCTGGCTATGGGCAGTTTGCCCTGGGTGTCTTTGATGACAGTTTTGACTTTGGGCCTGGAACAGAGGACAACCGGGATACAGAAAACAGGCGGGAAAGGGAAATGGCATCAAGGCAACGATATGGTGCCAGGCAACCAAGGAGTCGTCATGGTTCAAGGCGACAAGCAGGGAGGCATGATGGAGTTCCCACTTTAGAAGGGTAAGAAATACACTCTGTGACTTGAGGGACTGGTGCCACTTGGCCTTAAGTTATAATGTTTGTGTCTAATCACTCTTTCTCTGAGCTTGATTTGTGTTTTCCTTAATAGCTGTAAATCTTAATCTTTAGAAACTAATTTTATTTCTCCTTTACAAAATCTGCATTATACTTACCTCCTCTCTTTTGCAGAATTATTCAGCAGCTGGTGAATGGAATAATTGCACCTGCAGCAATGCCAAATATTGGTGTTGGACCCTGGTGAGTCTCTGAAACAGAGCTATAACAAACCAGAAAGCAGTTCCTCAACAATATACATTCGAATTTGTCTAGTTGATTTAATGTTCCATTATTTTTTTAAGGGGCATTCTTCACTCAAATCCTATGGATTATGCCTGGGGTGCTAATGGACTAGATGCAATTATAACTCAGGTAAATTTAAAAATGTTTTCAACTGGTTACTGTGCTTACATGAATTTTAGATATTGTGTTGATGTTGTGCACACTATATGAATGTTTTTTGTCCCTCTCATGTCTAGTTTTTAAACCAGTTTGAGAACACGGGACCTCCGCCTGCTGATAGGGATAAAATAAAAAGTCTGCCAACAGTACAAATTACAGATGAGCATGTTGGTAAGTTAGAATAAAGAATATTCACCACAGCTATAATGACTTTTTTATGCAAGATGGAACAGTATTATTTTCTTTGAAACAGTTGGTCATATGCTCTTGATGCACTGCAGTATAATTGAATGCAAGTAACATTTTAACTAAAAAGCAGGTTCCACCAACAATACACTTAATAAATATCAACCACACGATAAGTCTTTGTTGTTGCTGAAATCATCATATGGCATTTGGCAAAAAAAAAAAAAACATCCTTCTAATGGTCTGATGTGTGTTGCATCATAAAAGCTTCATGTTTGATTTTGTAATGATCTTATCTTTAGCTACTCAAAGCTACAGCATGTAACTTAAGGTAGTGTTAGCATGCAACTCAAAATCAGTGCTCCCTCTCCATGTTTCACTCTGCTCTGCTATGATCTACTATGCTCCGTCACACTCTGTTCAGCTCTTCAGATATGAAACTACAAGGAAGGAGAATGCAACAAACCTTACTGATCAAGCAGAAATAATTGAACATTTCTGATTGGTTAGAGAGGTTAATCCCACTCAAACTTTTAGAAGCTAATATCTCTGCACTACTGCTGTTCATTGAGTCTGAGTCATAGGGGACTTTGACAGCACATCTCCACGTTAAGACAAGTTTCAGAGCAGATTTCTACAAATGACTATTTGGAAAAAACTACTGTAACTTTAACACCCATCACATCAGGTTTTAGGGAGCTGCTTGTGCAAATATCTCTTAGTTTAATGCTAACCAGACCAGTAGCAGAGCATCCAACCCTCTATTGGAAAGTAAAGCTGAAATATTACATGACATATTACATTACAAGATATCTTTACAGTCTACAGTTTACAGTTTGTTAAAATTAAAAGTTTAAAAGTGTACTGTGTAAATCAACCCAACCCATTAAGCGTAAATGTGACATGAGTACACTATAGTGCCCTACCAAGCCAAATGCAGAAACTAAGTATTAAATATTAATTATGACTGGTTAACATTTATTTCAGCATATACATTTTGTATTTTAGCCATACAGCTGTATCATTTCCAAGTAAATTGTATGTGAAATGTGCAGATACAACAAAACACAGCTAAAACAATAAACAGTCAACTGCACAGCTAAGGCAAAAGTGCCAAGCTCCACTTAAAGCTAAACTAAAGCTAAATTCACTCTCTCTTTCCTTTTGTTTCCTGTACTTGAAATGTATCAATTTTAGTGATGCTGATATGATAATTCAGTATGTTATAAACTAATATAAGCAAGGCAACAGTTATATACAGCTATGGGAATAAAAACATCTTATTTTCTGCTGAAAAAAGGTATTAGCGTAGTGAGAGCAGCACTAACCACTATCTTGGCTTTTGACTCTAGTGGAGTTCACAATTTGGTGTGTTAAGCTGCTTTTAATTTGCACATTTAAATGCATTTAAGTGTAAATTAATGAAGAGGTTTGTTGATTTTTTTGCTTCCTGTTCTGTTTCCTGTAGTTTTTCCAAAGGTCTAATGATTTGTTGTTGTAAAATAATTCCAAAAGAGTCCCAAAAAGACATAAAATGAAAGAATTATATTCTACCTGCAGCAGTTTATCCGGTCTGCCTGAAAACCTCTACAGCTGCTGTTTACATGGCTCCCTGGCTTTGTAGAGTCGTACACTGGCATGTTGCACCCAACCCATTTTATACCTTGCCGGTCTGGCAGGGCTTTACTTTGACTGTTGGGCATTAGTGAGATTACCAGATGATCAGACTATGCTTTGCTAAATATAATTCATTGTTCATAATATTATGTCACTATCTTTACTGCTCATTATGTAGGCTGTTTGTCTGGAACCTGACAGATCATATTTAAAATGTTACAATTTTAACATATTCTGTCTTTCAGTTTCAGGACTGGAATGCCCGGTGTGTAAAGAAGATTACAGTGTGGGAGAAAATGTCAGGCAGCTTCCCTGCAATCACATGTTCCACAATGATTGCATAGTGCCCTGGCTGGAACAGGTATTAGTCAACACCCATTTAATGCTTTTTCCACTATACACAATATGCAGTTGGTGTTTGAAACTGTTGGGTAATGAAGCATCAGCAATGAGACTAAATCAGCTTTATATTTTTGCCCCTCCTTTTTTCCAGCATGACACTTGTCCAGTGTGCAGGAAAAGCCTGAGTGGTCAGAACACAGCCACAAACCCTCCAGAATTATCAGGGATAAACTTTACTTCCTCTTCTTCCTCCTCCCCATCCTCTTCATCCTCCTCTACCCCTCAGTCCTCAAGTTCAACTAGTAATGAGAACTCTACTGATAATTCCTAGGGAAAAACATTTGTCCTTATCACCATATGAGCTGTTCTTAGCTCCTAGGCTGCTGTACTTCAGAACAGTGACCTCCGGTCTTTTCCTGATGTATGGTGTATGTCTCCAGGGGCATTCAAGCCTAATTCAGGGGTAAGTGGTATGTGAGGTCCATGTATTTCTGCCTGCCTTGTTGCTCCCACCTTCTTTGGGAATCTAAACACATGAAAGGTGGTGGTGGCCTGGAGTGCAGCATGTGGAGAAACATGGGAACTTGAAGAGACTCGATCTGCCTGAATCACCTCATGCAGAGAAGATAAAACAAACAAGTCCAAATGTAGGAAACCCAAGGACAAGACAGATGCTGTTCTTTTTCTTTTTATTTCCCAATTTGTATGGTTTAAAATGCCCCACTTTTGCCCATGAAGGAAAATTAATTGTGCAGTTATTCCTTTTTATACATACTATTCATATATCAGAGATAAAATTACCCAAAGTACGCAGTTTAAGCACAGACTTACATTTCCTCATGGTTTGAGAGGACATTACATGGGGGCAACTGTGGTTCAGTGGGTAGAACAGTCGTCTCCCAACCGGAGGGTTTGAATCTCGGTGCCTGCAGTCCCCATGTCAAAGTGTCCCCCAAGTTGCCCCCAATGGTTAGAGCCGTTGGTGGGAGTTGGCACCGCAGATGGCTTCCTCGGTTCTGTACCGGAAACAAACTCCTTGTGTGTAACATACTTGGCCAAATAAAGGTGATTATTATTATTACAATTGACTTTTTTCATTCTCAAAAGAAAAGGACAATAATTTATTAAATTATTTTATAGTCAAGATCCTTTTACAGTTTTAAGATTACATGGCACCACACAGGTACCATTGTTTGCACTTAAAACAATATGTCAAATGACATTAATTTTGTGCTGTTTAGATAACAAGAGTTATTAAATTACACACAAGGATTTTTTTTTAATTTTATCTGCCAGCCTAAAATGTGAATGAGCTTTTCACACAATACACTTATAACTGGTTCAGTGCATTTTTACTTAAAATAAATTGTTTTCTAAAGTTACCACTTTAAAATTCATTAATTTACAGCATGAGCGTATACTAAAAACAAATTAATAGGAAAATAAAGATGTTTAGGTGCTACCACTCCAAATTCATTTAAATGATTCTCTGTGTATGTGCATATATGATATTTTTTGAAGGCGTAGCCATGACCAGCAGTGGTCTGAAAATGGGCCAGACATTCTGTCATAAAATTATGCCCTTGGTTTAAGAACTGACAATAACTTTCAAAAACAAATTTAAATTTGGTGTAAACAGACACTTGGAGCACTTACTATGATGCTGTGGGTAGACAGTAGATGAGAGTGCAGTCATCACTGGTACAGCAAATAAGCTAAAATAAAAAAAAAAAAGGTGACATGTTTGTCCTACTACCAAATAAACCAAGTAGTAATATGCTGCAAAAACATAGAAAAAAGCATCTGGATGTCCAGATGTTTTTTTTCAGCATACTACGGCCTGGATGACTGAGAATTTGCATGGACAAGTAGTAATATGGTAACTTTTTTTTTGGCAAACAGGCAATTTATAATCTGTGCTGGTCTGTTTTTCCTAGTTTTAATTATTTATTCTTTTTGGTGATGTCTTGCAGGCTCTTAGAACAATCAAGTACCAAGCAGGGAACAATAGTATCGCCAGTGAACACTTCTGAAAGTGATTTTCAATGCATAATATGGTTTTGAGATTGTTCTGTACTTTCAAAGAAAGACCTGGTCCAAAGGAATGCGGATAGTAAACAGTCTATATTAAATCCTCCAACGGGATACATGAGTGTTTCATGTTATCAATAAGCTAATAAATTCTGCTTCCTTGTATTGTTTAGGCATATGGGTGTACTTCCTCTACATTGTACCTTTCTTCTCCTCTGGGGTTTGGGTTCAAAGGCCTTTTAATCTGAGGGTATTGTTCCTTTGGACAGAACATTATTCTAGCTGGAAGACAAATGCATTCACTTTGTGTGTGCCTATAAATTTGACATTAAAGTATGAAATTGCTCCCTCATATTCATATTTTATTGTTAAATTTAAGGTTAACAATAAGTCCAGTATTTGTGCCATCTAAACCATGGGTCTTTTTAGTATCTGGAGTTACCTTTTTAGTGCTATGAAATTTTGAATAAGATGATGAATAGCTTTTTTTTTTAGTGCTGCATCTTTAATGAAAAATGGATTTTGCTTTTGTGACTTTACACAGTATAAATTATGACAGAGTAAAAACTTGGAAAATACAAATACATACATTTTCTAGCATTCTTTTTCATACAATTGCCCAGTCTTTCTTGATAGGGAAAATATGGGTAGCAATCCCAAAATCTCCTGAATCTTAACAATATTTAAGCCTGGGAGACTGAAAACAGATTTGAAAAAATTTGTTTTGGTATATTTTTCATTGTTGCTTCTGTAAGTCTCCATTTTAGTTATAAACCCCACAGCAAGATGTCTAGCATCGTGTTTTGTACTATTATTGTGCCATATCTTTATGTGCCATTGTACAAACTTAAACTTGTGTTCCATTAGGTCATTAGTCACTCTACTGGGGGTACTGTTCCATCTCTGTTTAATGAAATTCTTTTAACTCTGTGAATTGTGAAAGCAGTTTTACCCATTCTCTTACCATTTTTTGTTTTTGTCTGTCATCTACAGGTATGTGCCAAAAAATTAGAATATCGAGGAAAAGTCCATTTATTTCAATAATTTGTTTCAAAAAGTGAAACTTGTAAGTTATATTAGTTCACTGCACACAAAGTGAAATATTTCAAGCCTTTATTTGTTTCAATTTTGATGATTATGGATTAAAGACAAAAAAACCCAAATCCAGTATTTCACAAAATTAGAATATCATGACAAAGTTCAACATTGTAGGCTCCCTGTGTCCCAATCTAGTCAGCTAATTAATGCAAAACACCTGCAAAGGTTTCCTCAGCCTTGAAATTGTCTCAGTCTGGCTTAGTAGGCTTCAGAATCATGGGGAAGACTGCTGACTTGACGGTTGTGCAGACAACCATCATTGACACCCTCCATAAGGAGGAAAAGTCTCAAAAGGCAATTGCAAAAGAAGCTGGATGCTCACAGAACGCAGTATCAAAGTATATTAACAGAGTGTTAAGAAGAAGGGAAGAATGTGGCCGGAAAAGGTGCAAAAGTGACCGCAGCCTTGAGAGGATTGTCAAGCAAGGGCGATTCAGAAATCTGGGGGAGCTTCATAAGGAGTGGACTGAGGCTGATGTCAGTGCATCAAGAACCACCACATACAGACGTCTGCATGACATGGGCTACAGCTGTAGAATTCCATGCGTCAAGCCAACTCCTGAACCAAAAACAACGTCAGAAGCGTCTGTGCTTGGCTAAGGAGAAACAGTACTGGTCTATTGCCCAGTGGTCCCAAGTCCTGTTTTCAGATGAAAGCATATTCTGCATTTCATTTGGAAATCAAGGTCCCAGAGTCTGGAGGAAGACC